CCGAACCCACCTCAAATTCTCCGAATGGTTCAGTTAGGTACGATATCACATCACATAACTGGGATAAGTTTATGGCAACAAAAACTTCAATAGAAATTACAATCACAACTACCAGCAGATCATGGTGTTTAGAAAACAAGTCTTTCTCCGTGTCTTCACTGTTGGATATACAAGAGATTGTTGTAGAAAAGAAGAAAAAGTTGCATAGGATTCTCAATGAAAACATATACTTGTTGAATGTTTTCGCTGCCATGTTTAGAGAAATTACAGCCTTAAACAGTGCAGGGAGGTGTTCGATGAATGAGGGCTGTACCATCTTTGTAGACCTGAAAATATATTTTATAATTAGTTGTTGAGCATTACAGAAGTTAAATATTAGTTCACTAAATTTTTTATTTATATATTTTTAACCAATTCAAACAACAATCAAGATTAATTAACCTGTATATTATATTTTTAATAAGCCATTGCAACCAATCTTATGATTGCAAATTATAAGAGTGAATAAATTTAGAGATTTCATTGTTTATTTTTTTAACAGACTAAAAATAAACGATATCAGCAATCTTGACACATACTTTCTCCCATTAGCTTGTCAACAACCTCATGGGTAAGCGGTGGGAGTAACTATGATATTTTATAGGGAAATTTGCCAAAGTTTCAGTAATTTGAGTAATTGTTTCAGTAATGGGGGTTACACTATTTTGTTTACAACTATAAGGATCATAGCCAAACATATTTTAATAAAAAACCGATTTTGATCTAAAATCAAATTTTTGTTATTTTATGGGACAACATAAGTTACAACAACTTTTGAACCGTAATTTTTAAGGAAATGGGATTTGTGTCACTTTTCTTAGAACTTAAATGTAACACACTACAGGGTGGCTGGTCATCAGTGTGACAAAATTTTTTTGGCATAAGTACAAAGTAAATGCAGTGTAATGATGCATATAAAAGGTTCCAAGTCCAAAAATTAGCTTCCCAAAGAATTATTTTATGTTTTTCAAAAATAACTATGTTTTCAAACCTAATACAGCTATTTCTCAATTACCTGTAAATGGATTTGAGTAGACAATGTCATTTTCATGTTCTACATTAAATTTGAATAAGAATAGGCCTAATAGAAAATGACGGAGGATCAGTTGTAAAAACTCCATTGTAAATAGATTCAAAGTTAAATATTAAGATGTTTGATAAAATTTTAAAAACATTGGTCCATTGCATTTTTCACACCCTTTATACAAGAAAGTGTCGGAATATGTTAAAAACTGCGCCATTTTATAAGCTTTCCAACCTTATGCTACACCATTGAGCTTTATGTCTGCTTGCGTACGCTTTAGTGGTTTGAAGACTACAAAGAATGGTGTCTTTAACATTTAAAACATAGAAAGTCGGCATGTATTAAGCAAAAGTTGTATTTTTGTTTCAGCTTGAACAGTAAAATAGTAAAAAAGTTCCTTGTTTTCTGGCATTCAAACCACTAAAACAAACAAAAAAATATCTAAACCTGAATAGTGTAGCATATGGTTGGAAAGCTTATAAAATGGCACAGTTTTTAACATATTCCGACACTTTCTTGTATACAGGGTGTGAACAAATACAATAGACCAATGTTTTTTTTAAATTTTTATCAAACATATCTTAATTTTTAACTTTGAATCTATTTACAATGAAGTTTTTACAACTGATCCTCCGTTATTTTCTATTAGGCCTATTCTTATTCAAATTTAATGTAGAACATGAAAATGACATTTTCCACTCAAATCCATTTACAGGTAATTGAGAAATAGCTGTATTAAAGTTTGAAAACATAGTTATTTTTGAAAAACATAAAATAATTCTTTGGGAAGCTAATTTTTGCACTTGGAACCTTTTATGTGCATCATTACACTGCATTTACTTTGTACTTTATTTGGTACAAAATACCAAATGATATGTATAAACAATATAGGTAGGTATTTAAACAAGCAAGCTACAACAGTTTACCTATTCTCCAAAAGATTAACATTGGAATTTCAAATTTTTACTTTTTTCAATTATTTAGCAGCTACAACAACGCTTCAATATACTAAATTAATCTCTACGAAATGGGTTAAAAATTAGTTGCAAAGATTTATATTTTTAGTGTTAAAAATGGAAATAAATCATTTTCATCCTGTAAAACCTCGTTGATAACATTTCCTACGAACGGCAAAATTCATGATATTTTACAAACTGTAATTAAATTCAATCAATTAATCTATTTTTTCAAGTCCAACCTTTTGTAACCAAACTATAGAACTACATAGCTTTTTCAAAAAGATAATGCCTGTAATCAATATCATAATCAAAAATATTTTACAGCATTTCAAAGCAACTATGTCTCGCAAAGATGTTTTTACCTGTTAATCAGAGCTTGAAGTGTGCAGTCAACAATTTTGATTCATAAGAATGAACTCTATGACTTGCTAAATGTACATGCTTTTAGAATTTCAAAGAAACAAGTGAAGCGTTTCGTTTTTTGCTTCAGGATAAAAATACATGGTTATAGCTTATTCATTGAACACACACAAACATCGAACTCGGTTCAATACTTTCAAACTATTATTTGCAATGTTTCCTTGAGTTGTTAAGTAAAGTATACGACTTTATGAGGAAAATGTAAGGCAAATATACTCAAAATATATTAAATATTTCAAAGTTATTATACAATTTATTCTGAGTTAGTTTGGCTCTTCTATGACCAATTTTCATGATTGAGGTCTCAAATTGAAGGTATGCACGCACAGATTTCAGACCAAAGAAGCATCGGCTCGGCATATATTTATGTACTGTATTACTCGACCAAAAAACATAAATTTAATTTATTTTTTAATCCTTACTTCAATTTAAGATGTATTTCCTGTATTACCTTTAGGTGAGGACAAAGTTTTTGAATAGTCTAAATTTCATGGATCACATTAACTAAATTGAATGTTAAGGGAAAGGAATTTATTGTAAGATTGATTGTAAGAGGGTGGACTCATGGTCCAAGCATGTCAACCGAAGTGCATAAGATGAATGAAGAACTCCATGAAGATGCAGCACTGAGCGGTGAAATGTGCATAGAGTACTTAGTTCAACCTACAAGACCTTCAGGCAAAATAGGTAGATAAATTATTGTAGAAAAATATATGTTTTCCCTGGTCGGCAGTTTACAACCCTGATGAAAAAGTTCCAGATCTAAATGTTACCCACAAATGTTTTTCTAGGTTCTTTAAATTGTTTATCACACCTCTTTCTAGGAACCAGATGATTAACATAATTTCAAACTCCACCCGTAATTATCTCTATAGATTAATATATTAATCATTTGAAACATAAAGGGTCATCAAGAAGGAGCTCGCCTCCTGCTGTGGCATTCACTGCTCGTGCAGGCTCTTAAAATACTACTAAGGATAGTCTGCACTACGGGAGGTTCTGTATGTCACCTCACCTGGTAATGTTGTGTTTGTTTGTGGGAATTAAAAAGCCTCTTATGTAGGAAATGTGGAGAGAAGGAGACAGCCTTCCATGTGATATTTATGTGCCCAGCCTTACAAGGTCGTCGTATGATATCCCTTGGCCTATTCGATGGGAGATCAAAGGGAAGAACAGGTTACCATCAAAAAGGTTCTCATGGTTCACTAAAAGGACCTAGGAATTGACGGAGAATGAGGACCTGTGAATGGGGATGCACAATAAAAATTCTAGCTGCTATGCAATCCCATGGTCACTTATTGCCTGGCCCTCTGTAAAAAAATAACAGTACCATAGATAAAACTACTCTTTTAGTAGATTTCTCATCCTAATAAAAACAGCTGAGGCAAATATTTATTATTGTTTACACTGTAGAGTTCATGTTTTGTTTCATTTGTTTCTTGTTATTTCAGTATTTAAAACCTTGTTTAGCCAAATAAATAAAAAAAACTACCTAATCATAAAATACCCCCGCCGCAGCAAACCTGCCGAATATGCGAATTTCCATTCATCTAAATTGATTTTCAATTAAATCTATTACATAACATTAGGTTTGAGTACTAGGTCTGCTGCTAAGGAAAGGAAACTAATAAAGTGTATTTTTAGTAAAATAATATAATAGCTTAGTATAAAATTAATAAATTTGCCAAGTTTGATCAAAATATATCCATAAACAAGCAAATTACAACATTTTACAATATTCTCCATAAGTGGAGTTTTAAATTTACAATTTTTTGAATTTGTTCCGTTACCAAAAACCGCACAAGAACAATTTAATATACTAAATTATTTGTTTTTTAAGCTCTCTAAAAATGTCTAGAGATAAATTGGGAAATTTTGTGTTTTGAGGGTCAAAAATGATAATTGACAATCATATGATTAATGACAATTTTTTACCACATTAAACCCCGTTCCCATGTTTATCAAATCTATGGTCTTGTCCATGTACCAATACTTCAGATGCTTCAATAGTACGGTAACCGATAAAATGTCGATGCAAAAAATCTATAACACCCAAATAAAACATTGATCGATGATTCGAAAACATCGTCCATCGATTATCGATGCTCATCTCTTCCCATTCCACTTCTCTATATCCATCTCAAGCTCCCGAATACCACAACCACTTTCGACGGGTGGCCGTGGCAATGCGTGAGTGTTCCACCATGTGAGTGGAGCGGAGCGAGACTAGACTGACTTAAGTTACTTAGCCTTTAGTATGTTCATGAACCGGGATGAGTTGGGTTGAGTAGTGAAGCGAGACTGACTGAGAAGACCGTCGTGAAGTGAACTGTGTAGTGAGTGAGTGACTTTACTCTGTCTGTCTGTGCGGTGGTTGCGGTTCTATTCCACGGTAACTGAACTGGTGGTATGGTAACTTTTAACAGTGGTTTGGTTGGTGGTTCGGTTCGGTGGTTGGTCAAATCAAATGGTCAGTTCAGTTGTTCAGTTCAGTGTGTCTCTGTGTCTGTAGACTAGTAGACTAGACGTAGGTTGGTTGGTTTGGTTGGTACTGTGTAGTGTGAGTGTGTGAGTAAATCAAAGTGTCGATTCAATTGTATCTGTATCATTAAACAGGGCAGGGCTTAAAGAAAACGAACTTGTGGATAGTAGAGATACAAATTCGTATCATCATGTCGTCTTTCACAAGAACAAACGCTAATTCGAGTAGGGCTGGAACGAACTCAAATAGGCCTCCTAGAGGGCTAGGTGCCGGTAAGTTTCATTTCATAGGACGAAGGTTTAGTTAGGCAACTAAAACTGCAATTCCTCTCTTAGGACATCTTTGCATTTGCTGCTAGGCTAGGCCTAAGTTATTGGTGGATTTTGTAAACTGTATTGGGCTTAGGCGTAGCCTAACTTAGGCCTAGCCTAACTTAGGCCTAGCCTAACTTAGGCCTAGCATAACTTAGGCCTAGCCTAACTTAGGCCTAGCCTAACCTATATAACTTACTCCAGCCTATTAATGATAGGTCGCCAGAGGGGCTCACCCAGACTTGTTTGGAGGAGGATTATTAAGTTGGTAGCCTATGTGCTTTGCCGGAGGAATATTTACCGGACCCCTAAAAGAGGGAAATTACAATTTAGCTTCCAGGATTCAATGTTTTCTTTGAGGATTTTTTTGATAACAGAACTAGGCCTATGGTCAAACATGTTTTAGTCAGTAGGCCTAAATTCTAGCGACCATCAACCATTAAGTTACTGCGTAAGGCCCGGTTCACACAAGAGACTTACTTAACTTAGCTGACTAGGTAAGACTAGGTAGGCCCTAAGCCCGACTGGGTAAGCTTAGCGGACCACAGGATCCTATGAGCTGCTCACACGAGCTTCGTGTCCCAAATCATTGTCAGCCCCGTTCCCAATCACTCATGGTAGCTTCCCAGTCACCTGCTCTAGCGTCGTAGCAGTACACGTTTCCTTAACTTGTGGGAGCGTTCACACGAGCGATCGGGTAGTGCAACTCGCATTCTTCCCTTTGTTCACATTGTGCACCAGTGATGGATCTGAGTAGTTTTGATATCCATTTTTTCATAAAGTCTGTGGATATAGCCTATGTCCTCGTGTAAACCGGTGTATCCTGTGGTCCGCTACCCAGTCGGGCTTACCTACTTAATCACAGCCTAACTTAGTCACCTAGATAAGTCGCTCTTGTGCAAAGGCACTTACTTATTATAGAGCTAGTGCTTGGAATTTTTTAAAGTTAGAATAGCCTAAGTACCTTAGTTATTTGTATTATATTTATATAGGCCTATACGTCCGTAGCCTAAACGCGATAACTTGAGTAGCCTAATTTTTGTCTGATTTTGATGAAATTTGGTTTAAAGGTGTAAGGTGGGATAAACTTGAATGAGTTGGCGAACCAGCATGATCGGACCATGGGAACGGGGTTTTATAGGGTAGCCTAAATATTGGGTTTTCACATTTTTTACCCTTTACCGGTAAACACACAATTTTCCAATTTCTCTCTAGACCTTTTAAAAGAGCTTTAAAAAACAAATACCGGTAATTTAGTACCTACGAGGCTAAGCCCGTTGAAATCAACGGTTTGGGGCCTCCTCGTTTATATCGTGTTGCTTCATTGGCAACAAATAATGCACATAAAATAGCAATGTGGTATTTCCAAAAAGAAAAACAACTGTAAATTGGCTGTTACGTGTTTACATGCATTGTTAATCAATGTATCTTATTAAGGATATTGTGATCTACTTAGTTTAAAAGGAATTTAACCTAAGTACAGTCATGACAGTAGCTGCTTTAAAATAGTATTAAGTCTTACAGCCAAAATATCGTGTTCCCTTCAATAATGCTACCAACCCAGTGGGCCACGGTCCGTAATAAAGGCCACTGCAAAGAATTTTTCAAGATAGCCTACACCATTTTAGGCAATGTTTTTGTGTTTGGATGTTATTAGACACTATTAGTTGTTATTAGACACTATACTGTTTAGGTATGTAAATCTTAGTTTCTCATGGTTTTCGTGTACTGTACTTACAGTTGATGGGTACAGTTTTGTGTGAAGTTATGTAGGTAATTTGATGGTTTTACCACAAAACTTAATTCACTGAAATAATGGGGAGCACTAGTCCCTACAGTTGGTGATGAGTGTCCGCCATTTTAGATTTTTTTTTTTACAAAGATACATCAAATAGCAGATATTATTTTATAGTATCACTAGGCTACATCATTCATTGTAGACTATGTAAACTTTGGTCACCATTGACGAGCCCGAGACGGTACAAGTGCTTCTAAAGGTACAAAAACAACAACCCACACTCGGGGGTTGCATGGGACCTCACTCTAGGAACGCGAGTGGTGGCGCACAGAAGTTGGCTTCGTGCAACGTGACTCCAGAGAATACAAACCTTATAAAAAGCAGAATGCTTATGGGGAATAGTCGCACTGGATTTGGCCGCCGAAATGAGCTTTGTGCGGCCGCCGCTAGTTAGCACTAGCCTCTCTCTATCTCTCCCCCCCTCTCTCTCTCTCTTCGCTTATTTGCTGTCTCACTCACACAGCTGCGTGTGAGATTCTGAAGGCAGCACCTTTTCTACCAAGCAAATGCCGCAGGAACTGATTTTTTAACATGGGCATTTTTTTTCCTTGTAAGGTTTTTTTTACTTTGGTAACTCTCTGGTTTAAACTAGCTAATAGGAGTAGTATGACGGGGAAGGGAGAGCGAAAAAATGATGTTCCATCGGTTCCTATAAAGAGGTATGGTTATTCTTAAAACTGTGGGCCGACAATATCACATATTTCTTTTTCAAAATAAATGTGCTCGGAAGAAAAGTCCGTTTTGTCACCTATGTGTGTTTGTAAATGTAATGGCTACCACACTGCGAAATGCCATCACATACTATGCGTATCAAACGATTACCTTAACACTAATACCGAAACCCTACCTAGGCTGACGTTAAACGAAACCTCCGGTCTGTGAGACCCCGCTTTAAAATACACACTAACGCTGGGCTTCTGAGACAGACATGTTATGAACAGACAACTTGTCAAGGTCACGACACCCATGCAAAATGAACAAACAATATATCAATTTGTAGGGAAGGAAAAGGGGGAAGGTATTGGGGGAAAAGAATTTCCCAAGTAAACAGTGTTGCGAACATACGATTTTGAAAATTCCTGTGGGCCTGTCAGTCCAGGGTTTCGGTATTAGTGTTAACGATGGGTTATTATCAATGCTAGAATCATATTCACTGTCTTGATTTCCTATAAATTTCCTTGTCATCCACTCTATAATTTATTTATTTTTTTGTTAAAAGTAACGCTTTCAAATATTTTAGGTAATGAAGGCGGACCTAACCAACGAAGGCCAAGGGGTAGGCCAAACTACAACTATAGACAGAGTGATGAAATTATGGAAACTGATAATTCAGTGACAAACATACACTCAACAAATATGACAGAAAATCGTTTTAGTTTAAGAGGTAGCCCATATTTGAGAGGTATGGACAACGCTTTAAGGTTTTGGCAAAGACCTGGGTCAACTGAGACTTTAAGGAAAGAGCTTTTAGGAAGATTCACAAATATGCTGCCGCCTCTCTCTTTTTTAGAATCTGAAGCAGTCTGTGATGAAGGTAAAAAATCAAACTCTGAAACTAAGCCAACGCTCACTATGACCGATTGGTCGCTAATACCTCGTAATTCTACACTTCAGACTACAGATTACTCACATGAAATGGACTCTAAAAATTCAACCGATAGTGTTGACTTCAGAAAGAGAAAATCGTCAAATAATGCAAAATCAAGTTATAAAAGAGAGAGTGATAATATAAGAGGAAATGATTATGTTAACATGAATAACAATATGTCAGAAAAAACTGAAAACAGACCTGTGAGGAAACCAAGTTCCAATGTTGAGTCACTGTCAAAAATGGATGCTTTAAAATCCAAAGCATCTCCAAAGGTAATGAGAAAAGTCACTAAGGAAAGTTATAAAAGAGAGAATGATAATGTAAAAGGAAATGATTATGTTAACACGAATAACAATATGTCAGAAAAAACTGATAACAGACCTGTTGGGTACCCAAGTTCCAATATTGAGTTACCGTCAAGAATGAATGCTTTAAAATCCAAAGCATCTCCAAAGGTAATGAGAAAAGTCACTAAGGAAGAAAGAATCACTATAATGAACCAACATGGTTTTGACACAAATGTTTTAAATCGACCAAGTTCTTCCAACGGTGGAATATCCCATAGAGCAACTCCTCGCATTAGGCATAACCTAACTGAACTAAACGAGGATCTTTCTGTAGGTAGTTCTGAACATAATCATGGTGACTATGTGAAGCGTGAAAATGTTAAATCAAAAAATGCACTAGTACTTAAGGAGACGGGCTTTACAGGTGGGAAACAGCTCAACATCAACCGCCCTGTAAGAGATTCTAATGAACGAGTCCCTACTCGCGCTGAAGCGTTAAATAGAATCGAAGAGCAGTATGAAGTTGAAAGAGCCATACACGAAGAAAAGAAGAGAGAGGTATGTATTACAATTTTTTTATAAAAGGCTCTAGAGCTATAAATGCTAATTGATAATAGTGTTGTCTAACCAGTAATAATTCCGGGCATTAATAATACCGTATCGCATCGGAATATCTGAAGCTTGTTTTACTATTTTCTCCTTTGTTCTGAGAAAAGTTTGAGTATGTAGAGATGAAGATTATCTCGTTCGGTTTAGATTTGGCATAAATTATCGTAAAATTTACGTTGTCCTGTTGAACATTGTGGGTTTATGTGTCAACAAACATGGCTTGCAAGCTTTTATTCTAGGTCTTCGTTCCCTAACCTTTTTTCAGCCCCAAGCTCTTGGATGCTGTCTGTTAGATTTTTGTTTTGTATGCAATGGGTGTACTGTACAAGCAAAAAAAACTCAGATTTTGATAAAAATTTTGTTGTATTTATATCCAAAGAATTTATGAAGTTTCAAAAAATGCCAAATATAAAGTAACAACTGAAAACAAAAACTTAACTATTTACTAATCAATTATATGTTATTAAGGTATATTTCAATAAGTTTACATTGTTAAGTTTTAGGACCAAACAGGATCGCCTACGAATAGTTTTTGCTTCATAAAGTTTATGTTAAAACACTTAAATAGCCTGTTCAGAAGGTGCTGATGACTCCACAGTACTGTATTCTCTTCAGTGCTTATAAATCAAAATATCTGGGTACCTATATAAAAGAGTGCTTATGTCACTTAGATAATTATTATTCAATTTTATATTACACAATGTTTATGCGAATTTCCCATATAGGGAATAAGCTATTACCGTAGTACTCATGGTAAGACCTGGACACGGGACCGATTTTTTTTTCGTTTTGAGGTCCCTAGAGGCCAAAAACACCATCCGTTCAAATTCATATATATATATATATATATATATATATATATATATGTGTGTGTCCGTCAGCACGATAACTCGAGCAAAAATGATCCGATTTTGATGAAATTTGGTACAAACGTGTAAACCTACGTTTATTCGAACGAGTTCGCGATCCAGCATGATCGGACCATGGGAACGGTTTTATGGGGTAAAATAGTTATTTGTGTAACTAGTGGTGAAAGTGGCACTTTGCTGCACACGAGAGCAATGTTTACGCACGAGCCGCAGGCGAGTGCGGAATGATCTCGAGTGCAGCAAAGGCCTTTTTCGCTCGTGTTACACATTTTATTTTTCCTACAGTCACTATAAAACATAAATAATTAGTCTTTCAAACACTATACAACACGTTTTTAGGTTCAGCTAGCAACACAATTACACAAATGGTGCCCTGGAGAAAGTAGTACCCGTGGTCCGTATCACTCCGCTATTTTTCCTCGGCAAGAAATGTGCTCCGTCTTTTGAGAATATAGTTCCGTATGTTTTTGTAATTTGAAGTGGTTTCCGCGCCTAAAAAAAATGCTTTAAAGGTATTTTCTTGTTTATTAAGACCGTAGGAATGTTTTAAAAACGTTTAAAAGAAAAGTCCAGAAAGTTCAGAAATACCAAAACTATAAACACGAAATGACAGGTTAAATCGTAGTTATAATAGTCAATCAGCTGTTCATAGTATTATTATCTTTAAGTGTTGCCAACCTATTTCCAAGCGTACACGGATTACGTGCATAATAAAACCACGCTGTTTTGTGTTGTTTGGTTGGAATCCTGATGTGCGGCAAAGTATTTTAAACCGTGCGGCAAAGTATAAACCGTACGGCAAAGTATAAATATGCAGCAATTAGCAGCTTTCTGTACTATAAACAGTACAGGGAAGCCAACTTTGTCGGGTGACTGTAGGAAAATAGGTTTTTCCAATTTTTGACAAAAAAAAAAAAATTTTGCAATTTATTTCCAAACTATTTTTTAGAGCTTCAAAAATCAAATAATTTAGTATATTGAAGCGTTATTATGCGCCTAATGGTTACGGAGAAAATTCCAAAAAATTGTAAATTTAAAATTCCCATGTTATTCTTATGGAGAATGAGTAAACTGTTGTAGTTTGCTTGTTTATGAACATATTTTGATCAAATTTGGAAAATGTTTTTATTTCTTACTAACTATTAACATTTTACAAAAAAAAAACAGTTTTACCCTCCCTGATGCAGCAAACCTAAGTACTTGTTAAACTAATTCTATTTAAATCGGGAATAAATGTTATATTTTTAAGTAGACATTTCAGTGTAAATCCAATCAGTCAAATGGAAATTCGCTTAGTCTGCAGGTTTGCTGCGGCGGGGGTATTTTTTCTTACTTCTCTGGCCTCTCATATCTAGAAATCTAAAACTTATCAACAGTTCAGCGTTTATTTTTTATTTTTATTATTGATTAAGTTATGTAACGAATTTTGTATGTTTTACACTTAGAATTTGTGTTTTTTTAAGTTTATTTTATTTTTCAACAGAAAGAGGCAAAGAAAAGAGAAGAGTATTTGGCCAGATATAAACACGTTGATCAGGGTCACCGTTTGAACGATGGTCTATTAGATGAAGCTGCAGGTTATGGTAAGAGAAAAAGTTGTCATTTTTTAAATATTATATACCAAAGCCAAAACAGTGAATCAAAGTGTTATCATGTTGTGAATCCTTTCTTTCTTGATTAAAAAAAACTCCACGTGTCCTTAGGTGTCCATGGGTCCACTTATGAACCATATGAACAAAACGTTTTGTCTACCAGATATTGGTGGATTATATTTATTAACACTGATAATTCTCCAAATAATAACAGTTGTACATGTTTTAGCTGTGGATTATAAGCCAAAGGAATCTCTGGAAGAGGTTCGGAAGCGACAGCAAAAGCACTTCAACAACATCGCTTTAGTTTTTCAAGAGGAACAAAAAAAGGTTGGTCATTTTTAAAATCTTGTTTTTGTTGTTATTCATTAATATACATCTGAAAAATTTCAGGATTTTAACAGAGTGTTAAGTAGCAATAGTAAATACACTATTGAAATGATTATTTTAGTATGGGTATAATGTGTTTGCACTCAAACTAGTGTATAGTAAAACCAACAATACAGTAAAACCATGTAAACTCCTAACAGAAAAAGATAAAAGATTTGTTCTGATTACCTATACTGTACTTTAATTTTTCTTTTAACAAATGATATGGAATTTAAAGGACATGTCTATGCAAAGATGTCTACAGCAGTAGTTTTAGTTTGATATGTTTGTTGTAATTGCTGTTATACGAGACTCTTCAACCTACGTTTTCTGAGATACGTTTTGTCGTCTGCTCCATTAAATTCTGATGGTGAAGCAATACTGACTACTTGTGCCACGAATGACAATTCCCAAAGCATAGCTCTTTTTCCGATTGATGAGCATTTTTTATTATTAACTGTAGGGCCTACTATTTATGTCAACTGTAGGTCACGCGTTCGCTTAAGTTATTTTGCTTTAGCCCCCTTTGTCCATTTTATGTTTACTGATTGTTTTCATTATTCATAATCTCAAGTCTTATATGGAACTTGATTTTTTGCAAATTTCTTATTTTTACTGGGACATCTTAACGTTTGGTTTGAAATTTGCAGATAGGAGAGCAACAAAAACTGTTGGATGCTGAGAAGGCATTGAAAAAGCTGGAAGAATATTCACAGCATATCAACGTTGGCTATAGGCTCGGTCGGGGGGATGGCAACAGACCAGGTATTGTGCAAATTAGTGGTTAATATATAATCTTCTTTAGCCACGCTACAGCTCACGCTTTCCTAAAACAAAATATAAAATGTTTTGGCCTTTGTGCATGCCAGTTCCCATACATAGAGGATAATGGTAAAAACTGTCCCATGGCAACCTGGGTGGAAGAAGGTTAATTCAAAATGATTTATTCCAAACATCGGGAAAATTAGCAACTCACATTTTGGTGACTTTCCAATGTAAGCAAAACAGATTTCTAAGATTTTTTTTTTTATGTTACATTGTTTGTGGTTATCAACTGAACTGAACTTATCTAACCTAACCAAACCCAAATGCCGCAAAGCACTAAGGCGTCCCTCTTTTTTTAAAGACTCATAAACCCATAACTAACAGAAAACCAATATTTACACTGACAATTTATATTATAACTTGACCAATTTATTTAATTGTTTTTATTTCTGCTGATAGCTTCAAAAGTCAGTTGCGTCAAAAGACAAATCTAAAGTCTTGAATAGTTTGACAAAGATAATAATATAATTAACTGAATATTTGTAAGATGGCGTTTCCATTACTTTTAGAGTTTCCCGATGTGGTGGTCTGGGTGGGATAATCTAGCTTCTATTGTGTAGTGATGGTCTAAACCAGAAACTTTTGTCTTTTTAAAATACAAACGCAACACTTTTTTACTCGACTAATTAAGGTTTCAAATAATCCAGGTTATAGCCTAATATGTTTACTATGCAATCGACACTGAATGAAATTGTTTTCTGGCATAATAAATAATATGAATAACATAGTTAAAACCTAAAAACACATAATTTTTATAAACAACGTAGGCCTACACTGAAATGAATTAAACTCCTGACAATGCCATAGTAACATTAAAATACAATTAACTATACTGTAGTGGCGTAGTGTATTATTGGTTAAATAGTTAATAGTATCAAGATACTAAGTTTAAAAACTCGAAACTCTCTGATCAAATCGCAAAAACAAAACTTGTGCTAAGTTATAGTGGTTTTGAGATTTTGCAGTACTTTTTGACACATCACTAGAATAATGTGCAACCTACAAAAACATCCCCTTTCACTTAATAATTTCGTTACACTACAACTTCGGGGAGCGAGCTGGTGTTGTGGTTAGAGCGTGGGACTTCGGTCTCTGAGGTCCCGGGTTCGATCCCCGCCAAGTCACCAATGGATTTTATCTAAGTGATAATGCCGCAACCTCTAGGTCTAGCCTGAAAATTAATGTGAAAAACAATCCCAAACTCGTGGCTAGCGTCCTAGGCCAGCTGCTGTCACTTCACAATAGAAGCTAGATTATCCCACCCAGACCACCACATCAGAAAACTCTAAAAGTAATGGAAACGCCATCTTACAAAAAGTAGGTTAAAAAAAAAAAAAAAAAAAAACACTTCAGCTTCCTTTTTAGTATTAGGCTTATAAATTTTAGTTGGTAAACAACCATTTTTTTTTTTGTTTAAGCTCCCAATTACTTAACTGCTGAGACTTCCAAAAATGAGCATGCGAAACCAAAAGAGAGAGAGGGAACCAATTCTTCATCTTCCAAGCAGCAGCAGAAAAAACACCTAACTGAAAATAAACTTCCTGAATCGGTGATTCAAAGAGAACCAAAAGACCAAAAACACAACATGACCCAAGAGCATCTGGTTTGTATTTAGTCTCTTATATTTTATAATTATCACAATTTTTTTTGCTCACAATTTTGTCGGAAGGTACTGTGATCGTAAGAACTTATGAAGCAGTTTGCTGAATGGTAAATAATTAGGCAACTCCATGTTATAGCGAATGCAAGAAATATTGGATAATTTTGCCGCGACCATGAAAGATGTTTAGGATTATGGCAAGGATTCCAAGCCACGATCGTTGGAGAATTTTAGGGTTTCATTGCATTTACTGCAGATAATGTCATAGACAAAAAGAATTAAACATAGACTGTCAGCCGTGCTGCGGTTACCATTGTTACCATAGGTTCCGGCGCAATAGTTTACGTAGTGCGTACGCCGTAACTACATAGCGCTCCAAGCGGTGTGCGCCAGAACCTATGGTAACCGCAGCACAGCTGACGGTCTATATTTAATTCTTTTTGTCTATGGTAATGTAGAAACATTTTAATGGAACCTGATTCTTTTCAAGACCTGAGGTCTATTAGTTAAAAATTTTTGCCTCTTGCTAAAGGGGTCTAGCCTGTAGATTCCTAGAAGTTATAATTTTTCAGTTTGAACCTTGATTACAAGTCACCCTTGATAACCAGTGTTAAAATCCCCTTGGATGTTACCCTTTCCTTTTTCATATGTAACTGCAAACCTCGAAGAGAAGTCTACCTTGATAACTAAACTACAGTAGTAGTATTCATGAGAGGCTTGTAATCGGGGTTCTACTATATCACTACCACATACTCTGGTTGACAAAATACTAGGGATGGACGAGATTGGATTTTTAGTTCGAGACGAGACGAGACGAGATTTTTTATTTCTCATAAAATTTCGAGATGGGATTTCCCTTCTCATACACAACGGGAAATGCACGTTCAAAATTTTTACCTGATTTTGTAACATTGTTAGATGACTGTTTAAATACAAAATACAAAAATAATGATAATAGGCAAGAATATTTACAATCTTTTATTAAAAAACATCAGCATAACATTTTTTTTATTAATCACGCTTAACTTATTAAAAATGCCTACGATTAGGAAACATAGTGATATCAGTTAGGATAGTGTTCAACTTATCCTAAAATAAAATAAATCATAAAATAAAAGCAATATTAGTTTTTATAAAATAGTTACTTGTTTTGACTTTTTATAGTAATAAAACATTCCTCACACTGCTTACACTTAACAAAACTTCTCAAATGTTATTAAAGTAATATTATTTAAAAAATTAAAGTAATATTTACATTTAAAGAATTAATTAAATAAGAACGCCTTCGCAAAGGAAACGCAACTACAACACGCTCCTGTATTGCGGGTATTGCATTGACTTTCTGCAGGCGTTTTTAATTTTTTTTATTTATTTTTTTTTTAGGGTCCGCGGAATTGGCTAACTCTGGAACTCGCTAACCCCATGTTAAACGCCCTATCTTCAAATTTGGTCGATGAGAGGAACTCGCTAACTTGTTCGGTTTCGGAATTGGCTAACTCCGGAACCCGCTAACCCGCTCTAGAGCCAGGTTAGCGAATTCCGTCCTCGTACGGAAGTCGCTAACTCGGCCCCTCGGCGGAACTCGCTAACTCCCAATCAGAAGCCTCGCGGGCCGTCCAATGGGAGCCAAGCACGAATATTTTTGGCCAGTGTTGCCGAAAGTGTAGTACCTATATCGTATCGGTACCATAATGTCGTATCCTACGATTAATTAGGAGTATGAGCAACGTAGTCGATCAAATAAATATATTTAGAAGTATGTTTAACATTATTCTTATGATTATTATTGTGGAAAATGTATTATAGTCTTACCATAGACTAGCCAACACAAGTAAACTTTACATCCCATTGTAAACTTCGAAGCTCGTTTTTCGTGTCTAGTTCATGTCCGGTGACACTGATCGCTAGTGTCGACAAAATTGTGTTTCTATTATTAGTTAACTTCATGATTTGCTCTTTACTGTTTGGTTATATAACTAGGGGACGTGTTATTAGTTGTGATTAGAACGTTTTATTTGGTTAAACGAGGTTTTAAATTACTGAAAACAAGAAACAGTTGTAAACAAAACACGACCTCTAAAGACAGTGCACCGGACAGAACTAACAATAAAACTGTCTTCAGCTGATCCACAAGGATGAGAAATGTACTAAGGGTATATAAGGGAGTATGATTTATATGTGGGTTTCTTACTTAAATAGTAGCTTATTGGTATGCAAAAAGATAAAAATGCACATTTAATTTGGATCTACATGTTATGAAATATCTATTTTCGGTGTCCGCCATTTGTTTCTTTTATTCGAATAAATACCATTTTGTGAACTTCTGCAAATAAAATTATTGAGTTCGTATTTTCTATACTGTGCTTGTAACCTTGAATCATAATATAAAATTTACACATTAAACGTCATTAAAGAATTACATTGTAGTGGTAATGTATTTTTAAATAGAGCTATTGAATTTAAATAAATATTTATCAATACATTATAAAGTGGTAGGCCTAATGTATTCATGGATTGCATTAAAAGTTAGTCTATGCATAAATACAACTTGTAAATTTCTTTTATCGTAGGCTATTAGTGTAGAAAGGAACGTGTGGAATGTGTACGGTGGTCATCCTCTTAATTTTGTTGAATTAATATTAATTTTACGTCTTTCCGTAGGCCTACTTTTTAAAAGTCTGGAGTTTTTCTACAGGCTGGTTCTAAATGGACCCAGGCGTTCTTGTTTGTTACAATTCTTATGAATGGTGACCATAGCTAAAATTACTTGATCTTATCCAAAAACAAAGCTATTGTCTATTGTGTAGCTCAGTACTGGGTAACGGTGAACCGAGCGGCTTGGTATAGTTTATATCGATTGTGAAAGCAATATAAAGGAAACCCAACACTCAAATCAGGAAAATCCGTCAATTCGTTTATTAAGAATCGTGAATTAAAATAACCCTGTCACGTTTTATTATATGAATATTATATCTTCTCCTATTTTTTACTAGTGGTACTTAGGTGTAAATTTAAAAACGGTTTTAAAACATGTAACATTATTGCTAAAAAATTCAACACATTTTAGAATTAGGCAACTATTTACTAGTAGGCCTACAATGCCTTGGTTCAAACTATTAGTCCTAGATAAAAACTTAGTCTATGTCATCATATTTGTACACGTAAGTTGGACGGTTCAACGACGAACATTTAATTTAAAATCTATGAATTAGTTATAAAAGTTACGATGGTTGATGACTGTATTAATTAATGGTTTTGGTTTATTACGACATTACGATTAAATCTGTTTTCCGTGTTTAAGAACTTGCGTGTATTTTAGCTTAGTTTCGTAGAGGTTTAATTATTTAGTACCAATTCAACTGAATTTTTAATATTTTTCATATTCTATTATTTTCTTTAATACTGATGGCATTTATATTTAAGAACGAAATCATAAACATTTAACTGGCCATTGTACAGTTTAATAAAAAAAAACACTTTTTCATGATTTTTTAATTATCTTTGAATTACTTTGGGCTAGTTATCTGTCAAAAGTGGAATTGATAACAAAAAACAATAACATTTACTCTATCTTTATTGACACTGACATTTTGAAATACGGCAGTGTACGATTATTTTGTCGTACAAGGTTGGCAACGCCCCGTGCAGTGCGCGCGTCCGGGTTAGCGACTTCCAGAGTTAGCGAATTCCGCCGCGAGACAAAATCGAGTTAGTGGGTTCCGGAGTTAGCCAATTCCTGACTGAGACGGTTAGCCAGTTCCAGAGTTAGCCAGTTCCGACACACGACCGAGTTAGCGAGTTCCTGAGTTAGCCAATTCCTACGTCTCTTTTTTTATTCTTGTCTCGATAAAAATCTCGGCCAAAAAGAAATCTCGTCTCGTGTAACGAGATTTAAAATTTCCCGAAATTTCGAGACTTGACCATCCCTACAAAATACATACCTGAATTTGTATGGTCTTCAAGTTAATTTCACCCAATACAATGTTACACATGTATTAACATGTTATTACAATGTTATGTTTGTTCCAGGATCAAAATAGCCACTGTCTGGAAAAGAGTGTTAAGAAATCTGAAAACAATAACATACCAGTACATCAGGAAACTGGCTTTGAAGTAGACAAAGACAATAATTTAGGTAATGAATGATTTTTTATAGTTTTCCCCAATTTGAGTTGTAGATTTAATTAGATTGCAACAGTCAAATATTTTATGTTGAACGTCGTGCAACAGCTCAAAAATTATATTTTGGACGTCGTGACACTGAATAATATTATTGGACGTTGTGCAATGCATCTGGAAAAACTGGTCTCTACTTTTTTGCACCACTGTATGTATGTATGCTGCATTATCCTATGTAGCTTTTATCTTTGTTCAATTATAAACTGTTCTTCAATAATCTCTTACTTACATTCACCTCAGAACATAAACAAAAATGAACTGTCACATAAATGTGGTGTTTGGACTATTTCAAGAAAATATAATCATTTTCACTAGTGTCTTCACTATAGATCTGGTGTCGCAAATATGGGACATTACAAAAGGTTATCAAAAATATAAAAAAAGAAGAATATATTATTTACAAACACAATTGCAGTGTATTACAAAGTAAATGATCACTGTTTAACAGGTTTTCGCCCGGGGTCTGTGTGTACTGTTAACCAAGTGACAGCTGGTCTATGTGTAAGATTAAATTGTATACCTCTGTCCGAAGCAATGATTGCGACGTCACATATATGCGACACTCGGTAGCGTATAATAATAAATAACCTTAATTAACCCATTTATTAACCCATATTTAAATTATTGATATTAACGAACAGGCCGATTTCCAAAGGGCTCCCTATTACATAGTGAGGTAGTGTTAAGGATTAATGTTTACATTAAATTAATGAAATGCTAAAACATACTCTCTTACCAGTCGGTTCTTCCTTTGTGCAGCAACGACTTCCTCAGACATAACTTGGTGTAGATTCTTATACAATATCACGTATGGATTTATTTATGTCAACATTTCTCCCAATCCGTGCAAAATCGTCTGATCTAACTGAGTTGTTCTCCATACTTTAGTTAGAAGCCTCACTTAAATCAAGAACATAAAGTAGTCCTTCAAGAGTTCGAGGGCCTGACGCTCTCTTTTACGACGACCAAAAGATGTTTTGTTCATCTCATATTCACTGTCTTTCACACACTTTAAAGCATTCACTTCTATCAAAGGGCTAGAAATAGCATCAATGTTAATAACTTACCGCACCTCTTTTAAGAACAAATAATAATAAAATAAGTAAACAAAAATGTAAATAAACAAACTATTGTCAATTGCATTGACCAGCTGTTGCTCACTATACAGTAGAACCCCTCATATCCGGCCTTGGTTTTACCGGTCCTCTGTTTATCCGGCCCCTTCCAGGAAGCCAATATCAAAATTTTTACTCTCAGCTTACAGACGTTTAGATGCAAACACTAGTCTTTGTGACTGCTCAAGTCATAAAATAAATTGTTCTCACTCTGTTTGTTTATACATTTATTTGCTGAGTCACTATACTCAGTTAAGCTAGTAGGCCTAACCTCTTATCAGTTGGTTGATTATTTCCAAAGTGGGGTTAGTACAGTACAGTACGAGTACATTAATTTTTGTATTTCACAAAATGGTTAAGAATGTTGAGTAGAAATGCATGTACCATTTAACTCCTAATGATCTTTAAGTACAATTTATTGTCATTTTTACCTCCATTTAATAGGTTTTGTTACCTGGAATCATAATATTTGTACATTTATTACTTAATGACTTTAACCTACAAATATTTCTTTTTTTCTTTTTACAAACATGTTTATTTTTCTAAAAATGATCCCAGAACAGAATTAAATGATACTTTTGATTGCATATATTGATTACCCATTATTATTAGGTATGAATTGTCATTTTCATAGTAGGTTGGTTTATCCGGCCAAATCGTTATCCGGTCAGGGACTTGGTCCCGTGGTGGCCGGATATGAGGGGTTCTACTGTAATAGAAGAAAATAATCATAATTAACTTTTGCAAATCGGTCTATTGGGCGGAACTCTAAAAGAATTCTTTCACATCAATACTTTTCGGCAAATCTACACACTATGAGTTTTTATTTGGTTAAGGCCATTTATCATTTACATAAAATTTGATTGTATCTATCACTTTAATAACATAATAGATATGTGTATGTAAATTGTATAGCAGACATTTTCCAATATGCCCGTGGAGTACGTCTTAAGTTATCGCCAATTAATTATGCATAAAATATAGAAGTAACGTTATCAAAGCATTATTTTTGTAAAGTCATAAAAGTTAAAAGGTCAACAAGTGGTTAAAAAGATTCAGCCTATACTAAACTATCAGGACAATATACAAGCGCCGCAAGCCTGCGTAACACCCATCACTGTTGGAGCGAACGATCTTGGAGTGAACGCACAGTTCAAGATTTTTTTTTTTTTTTGTCCTAGGACGCTAGGCACAAGCCTGGGATTGTTTTTCACATTACTTCAGGCTAGACCTAGGGGTTGCGGCATTATCACTTAGATAAAATCCATTGGTGACTTGGCGGGGATCGAACCCGGGACCTCACGGACTGAAGTCCCGCGCTCTAACCACTACGCCAGCTCGCTCCCCCGCACAGTTCAAGATTATTACATATTTAAATTATACTGATTGTTAACTCCAATGTGCATTCGATCCATTGTACAGTAAAATTCAAAATTAATATTTTCTACTGGTTAGTCTCCTTCTAGAGCTGACTGTACCCGTTGAATTGAATGAAAAGTGGAGCGAATGAACAGGCAAATAAAATTACTTTTTGGAGTGAACCATCTTGGAGTGAATGAAACATATGTCCGAAATCAACCATACGAACAAAACGTTTTATGGCCACCTGAAATTGCTGAATTATATAGATTAACACTGATAATTCTCCAAACACTAACAATTAAATATGTTTTAGCTGTGGGTTACAACCCAAATGAGACTTTTGAAGAGGTACTGAAGCGACAGCATGAACAACTCAAAAACTTTGCTTTAACAAGAAAGGTTGGTCATTTTTTAAATGGTATTCTTGTTATTTAATACAATACTTTGTGAAAAGTTGCAGGATTTTAACAGAGTGTAAAGTAGCAATAGGTAGTAAATACACTATTGAAATGATTAGGCCTATTTTAGTATAAGTATACGATTAAAAAATTAATAGTTTGATTTCAATACAGTAAATACTTGACTAACAGCAATAAATATGAAAGATTTGTTCTGTTAATCAATGATATGAAATTTAAAGGATACGTCTATTCAAAGATGTCTACAACAGTAGTTTTAGTTTGATATGTTTGTTGTAATTGCTGTTATATGAAACTTCAACCTATGTTTTCTAAACTTTGTCTATATCACAGTCTGAGATCTGTGTTGTTGTCTGCAAATTTTATTATGGTTTTGGTTTAGCGACGTAAAGCTAAATAAAGGTGGTTTAACTGGGTATGCTCCATGTTAAGCATATGGATGTTTGCTTTAGTTAATTTGTTTTAGACCTCTTTGTCCAGATTATGTTTACTGTTTCATTATTCATAGTCTTATTCTTTATGGAACAAGGCAATTTCACTCAAGGTCTACAATGATATATTTGTTCCAGGGAAGAGAGAGTTATAATCTAGAAGAGAAGGGAGTGGAAAATTTGGAAAATAATATAGATTGTGAAATTGGCTTTGAACTAGACCCAGACGATAATTCAGGTAATGTATAATTACCTGAATGGTTTTCCCCAAGTTGAAAGTTATATTTTTCTTATTTTTAGGTTCAATAGATAAAATCCTCTATATTATGTTAAGTAATTGAGTGACACATTTTTGAAATGCCAAATTATTGGGAGTATATGGACAAAATAGTTTGAAGTTCAATCACGCATTAACTACTGGGTCAGATTGGGTTGAAATTTGGCATGATGATAGCTCTCATTCCCGAATAACATATAGACATATTATTATCTCAAAAATCCTTTCGGGCTCCGCCCCAGTGGCTCTAGAATTTTCCATGTTAACCTTATGAGTATTCATATTTAAAGGGAATTAAGGAATTGTGCCAGCTGTTCCAACTACACAAGTTTATTCTATGATATGCAATAGCATTAAAAGGTTACTAGTTAACCGCCCGTGCTCCGCTACGGGAATATTGTCAGCAACAAAAGATATAATAATTAACAAATACTGTTTATCTTTGTATTTTATTTAGGGGCTGCTTTCTTTACATGAAGTAGAACGGATAGTTGGCCTGTATAAACTATTTATGATGTTAATCAAACCGATGTATTAATTTAACCAAATTAATGTTTAAATTAATTTGAGTTACATTAAAAAAATAAATACCGTATGAACTGCGCAATGTGCTGATGATAACCTAATAAGCTACTTATGCTATGGGGACAATTTGTTCATGTATATTACTACATTCGTTTGTTTTCTTGTTCATTTCGTTCGTTGTGTGGAATAAAGATAGTCACTTAAATCACGCATCGACAGTTGGTCGCATTTCACGGATCTTTGACACATTCTGTGAGTAACCAGTGTGTTTACATCGTATAGAAAAGTTGGGCATACTTTGGCTCAATGTTAGAGGGTATTATTGGTCCAATCCGATGGTAAAAGGAGTCCTGGATCTTAAAATTATATAGACTACCAAAATGATGATACATCGAAGTGAGACTTATAAACTCGCCATTGAAAATGCAGAGTTGTATGATCTTATATTATTCAAATAGTTTTTTGAATGTTTTTTTTCTTTTGATACATACTTCATTTAAAGTCTATATAGCCCCGTTGATAAGATTTTCTATGAACTCAGAATGTTGATAAGGAGGTAATTTGACTTTCCCCTTGTGGCAACATAAGGAGAATAATATATATGTGTGTCCCTGTTAGTCCGTTCTGACTCTAATTTCATTGATTTGCAATAGTGACAAATCCAATTTAACAACCCCAATTTAAAAAAATCGGCGTTTTTTTTTTTGGAACTTCCAGAGCACATTTTACTCCATCTCTGCTATTTACTTTTTAGTTTGATGGTTCTCCACGTTTTTTTTGTTCTTATTTCTTCTTTACGCACAGTTAATGACTTACCTACCTTTTCTTTTTCTTTTTGTACTTTTCACACCATGGGGATTATGATTAAGTTTTGCGTCAACTTTACCTTTAAACATCAAGTCACACACTTTTTCGCCAGAACCGAAATCGTAAGTCACAGCTTCTCAACCGACTTCCCTGTGTACTCGAAAAAAAGTTAGGGCATAGTTCACTGATAAATAGTAGTTCCACATATCGAGAGTACTCGCCATCTTGAGTAAGATTCATCATCTAGGTAGAATAAAATGTTTGTATTTTTCTCACTTATTAGCAATTTTCTGTACAACTTGCAAGTATATTGATCTGAACCATCGATTCTGAACAAACAGTTCTGTCTCTTACTAAGGGTATTATTTCACATTCCATACTCAAACCTAAACTCAATTAGCACTTTCCTTCAAATCTGTTCGCAGGAAAACTAATACATTATTCAAAAATACAAAATTTACACCAAAACATAGGCTACAAATAATGTTTAAATACACTTAAAATAACACATTGTGGTATAATAAGTTAACAAATACGAAATACACTTTCCCTTGTTCGAGATCGTGTCTGTTTTTAACAGGAACTTCTAGATAAATAATTACATACTGAAAGTGAGGTTATAAAAATAATAACAAATGTCTGACAAACATTAAACAGCTGAGGAATAGTTTATAAACTGTGTATTATATTCTTCAATACTAATTGTATTGACTCAACCTTTGAAGGGCTGTAGGTCGTAGCCCTTAGAAATAACGTAAATTCTAAGGAAGTTCGGCAAATCTACGGATTATCCCCTTTAATTTGAGACATAAATCTTGCAGATCGGTCCAGTAATTACTGAGAAAACAGTGTTACAACTGTGTATTAAATATATAGATAAGGTTTACCAACAAGGTGCAGCACTGTTAATTATTTTTACATTTATGACAACATCTTATTTGAACCAAGCGGCAACAAAGCAACAAAGCTCTGAAAACTTTACTTTTTTGTCCTCTCCCATTGCAAACGCAAAGCACTGTATAACTGCAATAAGCATACTGTACTTAAACACCAACCCTGTACGAAGGACAGGTACTCAGCTAGTGTTTAATATTTTTAAGGGGCTATAAAAGATAGACTAGTATTGTAGGCAATCAGAGCTAAAGCATATCTTAACAAAAATGTTCTGTTTCTTTGAATTCCAAAAGTACCACTGGTTTTTTGGTAGCACTGTAAATCTCACAAATCAAATAATTCCCTCGATTCCTTTATGTGTATCATTTTCCGTAATAGTTCTGTTTGATTTCAACCCATTTTTGTTGGTCTTTTTCAGATGAACAAAGGTGTGTAAGGCAGGTATTGGAGGTCTTGGATGACGACGAGGACTTGCCGAATAATGAGCGGCCGGATCTTCAAGCTCCCATAAGTAAGTGCAAACAAATTTTTACTAGGCTGTACACTGGATCAACAATTGTCTTTAGATTAAACTCTCTGAAAATTACTTTGTTGGAACTCCCTCCAGACCTTTTAAGGCATCTTTCCTGAAAGAAAAAATCTAAAATATCTCGTTACAAATTGTAAAACACAAAAGTTAACTGTACTGCCATCATTTGTTTTACAAACTGATTTTTATTTGATAGCAACTTTTTTTGGCAAATACGTGTTGATACATGTATTGATTTGACCATTTTAGTACATATATTGATAAACACAAAGACAATTTTAATTTTTTTAAACAAATTATCATCTTTTAAGTTTAGTGTTGAAATGGTGGCCCTTTAAAACATTTTTACTTGAATACCATAAAAACTACATTCCTGTTGGTAAAAAAAAAAACTTGTTGCAATTTTATTAGACGATTTAATTACAATTGTTTTAACGACGACACTAATATTAAAGTATTCTAATACTTAATACTGAATTTTAAAAATTTGTTCATTAACAAAGAAGGAAACTTATTTTTAATATACTTTTTACAAACATATTTGAGCTCATTGGTAGCTAACTATTGAAACACCGGATTGTGTTAGCTCATTAACAATGATGTTACCAATTGTTATATTTTATGTATATGTCATAATATTTGGCTCAATTGATTACTTAAATGTTTTACCTTTAAACACTTGTTCATTAATTCATCAATTTGGTACTTGTATCTTCCTACTTTGAAATTGTTCACCAATGACCAACATGTGTTAATTATTCCCATACATAAAAAGAATGACGAAAAAATCATCAAATTATCGTCCGCTATCTCTATTACCAACTTTATCTAAAATTTATGAAAAGGCAGTTTACATACAACTAACACATTTTCTTGAAGAACACCATCTCGTGGATAGCTCCCAACATGGGTTTTGTAGCGGGAAATCAGTGACAACTGCTAGTGTTTCTTTTATTGAATCAGTGATAGACTCAATAGATGCTGGTGAACCATGTGTCGGAATTTTTATGGCACTGTGGATCATGAAATTCTTCTTGCTAAGTTAAAATTACTCGGCTTGGATCCTCATTCCTTGAATTGGTTTAGTTCATACCTAAATAATAGATATCAGTTTGTTCAGATTACTCATTTAGCCAAAAACAATAGAATTATAAATCATAAATCAGAATTGAAACCAGTAAAATTTGGTGTGCCTCAGGGATCTGTGCTGGGACCACTCTTGTTTATATGTTATTTGAAAGATATTTCTAAATCATTATCAAACTCAGATAACACAAACCTCTGTCTATATGCTGATGATTCAAATCTTAAAGTATCGGGTAATAATTTAGAACAGGTGGAAATTTTATCATTCACTGAAATAGGAAATATGATTACTTTTTTTGAAAATCACAACCTCCACTTAAATATTGAGAAAACTAACTACATTTCATTTAAAACAGCCCAATCAAGGATCAAAAAGAACCCTTGATTTTTGTGAATACTGAGCCTATTGAGCTTGTCACAAGTACAAAATTTCTTGGTCTAACAATAGATAATAACTTGGATTGGAATAAGCATGTAGACAACATTTTAGCTAAAATCAATTCTGGCATGTACGCACTAAGAAGAATGGCAGGGATGTGCAGTGAATCCACTCTTAAAATTATTTACCATTCATACATTCATTCACACATTTCATTTGGAATTTGTCCGTATGGCTCATCTAAATTAGAAAATCTAGATAAAATTCTTAAAGAACAAAAGAAAGCGATTAGAATAATAAAAAACCTACATCCAGGTACATCATGCAGGGAACATTTTAAAATGCTAAATATATTAACAGTTTATGGTCAGTTTATTTTAGACACTATTTTGATATTTTTAAACAATAAGAAGGATACAATTTTAGAACAAGAAACACACCATTACAACACGCGAAAAAAGAATGAAATCATACCCACTCACCATAGACTTGAATTTTACACAAAGAAGCCGTCTTACAAAGGAGCAAGTTATTTCAGAAAATTGCCAAAAGAATTAAAGTGTCAAATAAACAGTTCAAAATTTAAACTAAAACTAAAAACTTACTTGGTTTGCAAAGTATTATATTCCATAGAAGAGTATATGAATAATTAAGCAAATGTTAATTTAAATAGCTAAGTTGACACTATTCAGATGTACTAACATGTACTTGTCTTGTACGAATAAAGATATTTTGATTTGATTTGATTTGTTCTTTCTCTTTTGAAGTTTAAAATCTTGTGAAAATTTGCATACAGTAGTTCGGTATTAGCCATTGTCTTTTAACAAACAAATAAAGAAATCCTTTTATAAACACAATCCGGCAAAAAATTGGCATTCCAACACAATTAGCTGAATTTTACATTATCTTCCAGTTGTAGCTGAAGAACATCTGAACCAAACTAAAAATCTAAATTCATGTTTTCGGCCCCTGGACTATATTGTTAACAGCTGTTGAGCAATACCATTTTTGGACTATTTGACTGAGGTATGTAAAAAACCTATTATTGTCTTAACAATATAGTCCAGGGGCCGAAAACATGAATTTTGATTTTTAGTTTGGTTCAGATGTCCTTGAGCTACAACTGGAAGATAACGTCAAATTCAACAGCTGTTGAGCAATACCATTTTTGGACTATTTGACTGAGGTATGTAAAAAACCTATTATGGTCCAAACTAAAAACATGAAAGGCGCATTTTAATATCAAAGCACTGTAAACATTTCCATGTGTTATACATAAACCGCTTTTCAGGCCCCGAGTTGATGCTAGAAGGTGAAACGGAAGAAGAATTTCTTCAAAGGCAAGAAGAGCAGTTGATTATTGAAGCAATGTTACTAAGTCAAATAGAGTTTGAAACAAAACAGACAGAAGTAAGTAGAATAATGTAGTAGTCTGACCTTTTTGTATCTAAAAATATTTTTTTGTTCATTCTTATTAGGTACCATCATTTCATTATAAATAGGGATGGACGAGATTGGATTTTTAGTTCGAGACGAGACGAGACGAGATTTTTTATTTCTCGTAAAATTTCGAGACGAGATCGAGACGGGATTTCCCTTCTCATACACAACGGGAAATACACGTTCAAAATTTTTACCTGATTTTGTAACATTGTCAGATGACTGTTTAAATACAAAAATAATGATAATAGGCAAGAATATTTACAATATTTTATTAAAAAACATCAGCATAACATTTTTTTATTAATCACGCCTAACTTATTAAAAATGCCTACGATTAGAAAACATAGTGATATCAGTTAGGATAGAGTTCAACTTATCCTAAAATAAAATAAATCATAAAATAAAAGCAATATTAATTTTTATAAAATAGTTACTTGTTTTGACTTTTTATAGTAATAAAACATTCCTCACACTGCTTACACTTAACAAAACTTCTCAAATGTTATTAAAGTAATATTATTTAAATAATTAAAGTAATAATTACATTTACAGAATTAATTAAATAAGAACGCCTTCGCAAAGGAAACGCAACTACAACACGCTCCTGTATTGCGGGTATTGCATTGACTTTCTGCAGGCGTTTTTAAATTTAAATTTTTTTTTTATTCTCGTCTCGATAAAAATCTCGGCCAAAAAGAAATCTCGTCTCATGTAACGAGATTTAAAATTTCCCGAAAATTTCCCGAAATTTCGAGACTTGACCATCCCTAATTATAAATAATAGCCAACCATGTCAGTGGCAATTTTTTCATGACCAATTGGCAAGAAAACAAAATATCTTTCTCCAGTTATGATGAAATATAAATTCTAATTTGGCTCATTGACTCATATGTGTAACCCGTCACTTCAATTTGTTGCGAGATAGCCGTTCTGCTAAGTACTAATTGAAAGGTGTTAAAGTAGTTTGTCAAGTATAACTTGCAATCGCTTAAGTTGTGTTCTTCTAGTGGACAATGATGGTATGGTAACTCAGTTGGCTACGGTGTTGCATTGACGTGTCCTGTTGAGGTGTTTAAATCCTTGTTTGTGCCTATATTGAACTCGGTAATAAATGGCTTAGCTGGAGTGGAGGGCGCCTGTCTTAAATAAACTCTCTCTAGCTTGGGTGGAAGTTGACGGCAATAATGAGTTGATACTTCATCTGCTATAGTATCATCTAAATGAATAATTAATCAATTTATTTCCGTTACAGTAGACTCCCTCTTATCCGAACTCCTTGGGACCGAGGCCAGTCCGGATAACGGGTTTTCCAGTTAAGCCGACGTCCTCAAAAACTCATAAAAACGGACCGGTTACGGTGATATTCGACTTAAATTTAGGAGAGCATTGTATTTTGACATGTGATTACTGTTCTCAAATCTTTCCCTTGAGAACAGTCGTTTCAGTACCGCCCACTTCCTGCCGATCTAGTCCGATTAAACCAATGTGCTGATAAAAATTGTCCGGTTAAAGAGATGTCATTTCCGTCAAGTGTAGTCCGGTTAAACCGATGTCCAGTTAAAAGGTGTCCGGAAAAGAGGGAGTCTACTGTATCACAAAACATTTTACAATCATACAAATTATTTAGAAATTTAAACTGGTCACTTTTTCAAGTAGTGTGACCGGTTACAAAGTTAAACATGTATAATAAATAATAAAATACTTGATACTGGAATCATTTATTATTGGATTGCACTTAGTTGTTATTTATTTTTGTTTGTTTCAGAAATTGCAAAAGAATTCAGCTCCAAGTACCCCTGGCCAGGGAATTAAAAAGGAAGAGAAAAGAGAATGCACCGGATGTATTAAAGTGAGAGAAGCCAAAGTTCTCCAGACAATTGTGTCAGAAGAGAAGACGAAGATTCAGAATTTCGGTAAAAAATGTCCTTAATTTATTTTTTCAGTTAAAAAGTTGCAGTTTTGAAAACTACACACATTTTGTTAGTTGACGACGACACATTTTTGGTTTACAATCACCTTACATTTTTTTCTTCTTGTTTAGGCCTACGCATTTTTACTTTTGAGTTTAAAAATTTTTTTTGCTGACTTAGTAAACCTCAATTCAACATATTAATTGGGAAGTTTTGATGTACCTGCTAATTACAGTAGTACCTGGCTAATTCAAACCTAAATAGTTTGAAAAACCTCTATAATTAGAAATTGTTGTCTATTCCCCTCAGAAAACCTCTAAAATTGAAAAAAATAATATCAGTTCCGCCCCGAGGGTAATAGATGCCCGGGGCGAGATTTAAATTTTTGCCTCGTCCCCAAAAAAGGTATTTGGGGGGTCAATAGATAGACCCAACATCCTATATATCGGTATCAAACGTTTTGCAAGTATTTATATTTTTATAAGTGTAACAACTATACTGAACTAAATTACTGAAAACATTGAATTTACGACTCAAATGGACATCACAAAACGACTATGATTTGACTAAGAGCTTGAACTTTGAGGTTAGAAACAAGTAAATGTAGGGGGGGCATGTGGTGAATACGCAGTGTGTCTCGGACTCGCAGTATTGCCAAAAAGTTACATGCCAGACGTAAAAGTAGTAATAGGACGAGTTGTATGTTAAATAACGGTATTTATTTTATGAATAAAAATAAAGCTATAGATTGCGTTTTTAGAATAGTCATTGTCATTGATTACGCGTTTACGAGTTTCCCGTGAAATATTCGTTTGCAGTTTGTCGATAACGTTATTAATTTTTTTACCTTCCAAAAGCAAAAAGGTCGTCCCACTCGCCCCACCCTCGAGGTGGCCCTGAATAATATACCGATAATTCAAAGTGATTTTTACGCTTATGCAGCCTCTACAATTCAAATTTCTATATAATCGAGCCTCTACAATTAGAAATTTGTTGCCGTAGTTCAAACTGTTACCTCCAAAATTTGAATTCTACCTCTACAATTCGAACTGTGTTACCATAATATAGTTTGAATTCAGGACAAAGAATACCTTGAAACATGATCTGACACCTTTATTGAAGTTCCCACTGTGTGTTCATTAGTCTCCGTTCTCTCAAACTCTCTACAATTGAAAATGGGCCCTCCATAATAAACATTTTATTAGTTCTGACCCCTACAAATTAAACTCTCTATATTTCAAAACTTCCCATGGTTCTCAATATATCGTCTTTCATCTGAAAGTAAGAGCATAGCTAAGTAATGGTTATAGTGCTCACCCTACAATCAGATGGCTTCTAGTTCAAATGAAATTAGAAATTAGGCAGCTTTTTGATTGATCGAAACTAAACACAGCTCTTCTTGATCATTGGGTTAAATAAGTAGTCTGGACTAATGAAGCAACTTATCTTAGTCAGTGACAAAGCTAATTAGATCATCTCTCTCTATTCTGTAGTTTACACTCGTCTTGCATTTATGTCCTTTAACATTAATTTAATTTTTGCAGAAAAAGACTTGGATGATATTTGAAATAAAGATAAATAACCATATTTTGTTTTCCTAGAACCAGCAACGAGACAAGCAGACACGACAAAGGGAGCAATTCCCAAAAATAAGGCTGCAACATTTCCTGATGTAACTGAAAAGAATGAAAATGATACAAAAATACACAATGAAAATGAAAAGAGTGTGAATGATGGAGCTGTTCAAAAAAGACATTCTGTGCGGGAAGCTCACAGTCAGTTGAACATGAGTAAACTGTTGGACCAAATTGAGGAAAGCGCTTCCACAAATAATGTGTCTCAGGTAAAAGTTGTTTCATTTCGTGATTTTTTTTCTGAGCTTTTGTTAAAAATATTTATTTATCATTTGGACATGTTGTCATTTATTGACCAGTATGTTTTTATTTAAAAAGTAATTAGTCTTTGTATTGTAGCAAAAAACAACGTTCAAAACATTGAAAGTGGATAATTTATCTTTAACCATATTTTAAATGCTTTCACTACAAACATAAGGACTAACTCTAAACTAAAAAAAATAATTACAATTAATTTTTTAATGTACACTAACAATTAAATAAACATTCAATTGCTTCTTAAAGGCTTTACTAATAAAAAAAAAATACCAGAAAATTTACATGGCATATTAAATAGGTACTAAGATGTATTTCTTATGTAAAAACAAATTGTAATGAAAACTCCCGCCGCGGACATGGTACTTTTGGTGTGAGATGGCTCGAGGTAAAACGTCCGTACGTGGTACTCCCGCGGCGGGAGCGGCAGATGTCGGTGTGGCATGGTCTTAAGCCACTGAATAAATAAGGAGTGATGGTTCTATGAATTGTTATGCATTCAAATTTTGTATTTTTCCTTTTTAGGAAGTACATTTGATGGTAAATAAATGAAGACTATACCTTATTAAATATTTAATTGCCAAGTTATAAAATTGTTTTGATAAACCCTGAATAACCTAAGTAAGGGAGGCTGTTTTGGTCAACATATTTTTGGGTTTAGGTGTGAGAAAGGATAGGATAAGCAGGCTTACCTTAAGAAATGTAGGCATCCCACTTCATTCACTATAGAACACAGAAGAAAACACAAACAAAATAAACACTGGATATTTCGAGGCCACTGGCCCCTTTCTCAACATGGAGAGTCACATTAGATATTTAGAGTCTTTCACTGGTAAGGAAGCAGTGTTGCCAACACACTATGAATTTACAAATGAATATTTACAGGTTAATGAGTCATTGATTTTATTTACACTTAGTCTAAGCCTGTTTTTTAGGTGTGGAAGGGGAAAGGAAATGTTAGGCCTATCTGAGATTGCGGTTTGGGGGCTCCCTGGATTTTGTGAACCATTGATAAGATCATAAGAGAGTTCCCATCTCCTTAGTTGTGATGGGTTACAGGTGGGAGGGAAATATCTTATTATTTTTGAATTGAAACAACTGTTTAAGTCTTGCATATTGTGGCTGGCAGCATGAATAGGCACTGGTTTTTCTGGATGGCTGTTTTTTATGTCTGTCCTATGATTGTTCATTCTTGTTCTAAAACTGGTGGTGGTAAGTCCAATGTATTGAGATGAGCAATGGTTTTATTGAAGTTGATATACAACATTTTGCGTGGAGAATGTATTGTGTCCTTTAATTTTGAAGGTTTCTCCTGTTGATGTGCTTGTAAATGTTGTGCTGGGCCTATTAATGTGGCAGGTTTTGCATCTTGCCATGCCACATGGGAATGCACCTTCTATGGGTTTATCTTGGTCTTTGTTAGGTTTTGATTGTTAAGGGTGAACTAACAACTTTTTTAAATTGGCTGGTTGTCGGAATGTAGTTGTGGGAGGTTTTGCCAAGAAGTCTTTGGTGTGTGGGGATGCTCTGAGGATTTTGAAACCGTCTTTTAAAATTGTGTTTAAGGATTGGAGGCCGTGGTGATAAGTCGTGATAAGCTGCAGGTTTTGTTTGGAGTTTCTTTTTTGAGTAGGCCTAACGTTGGTGGTTTCTGATTGAGCAAGACGGATCTGATAGTTGTTAGAATTCAAAGGTAATTTTGGTTTAAAATGGTCTACAACAGTAGGTTTTCAAAGTATTGACATTGTAGAATCCACGTAACTTTTCAAAATTTTATCTTCACGCTTGCAGCAACAGTGAGTCAAGCTAAGATAACCCCGCGCCATGGTCGACAGTTTGAGTTGCCTAGATAATCTTCAGATTGATTTAAATTTTAATTGTTTTTTGTCAACCCGAGTTTTGGTATTAAGTGATTTAACTTTTATAAAAAGTTTTGATTGGACGGTTTAAATCACTTAAAAAAGTAGACGTTAGTAAACAAAAGTAGTAACATTGACGACACCTGAAGAAGTGGATCCTTTTGTGTGCCTTTTGGCGGTGGAATTTGATGGTTAAATTTAATAACCACCGAAACATGTAGCAAGTTATTTTCGACACTACAAAACATGTCAAGGATTGTCTGACAAGGTACGTTTTTAACCATTATTAGTCATAAAACGCAATCCTGGGGCTATAAAAATGAAGTATAAAAAAGTAGGCCTAAATTTGAGGACATATGGCATTGTTAAATATAATTTATTTTTGTTCAACAGGCAAATATTGTTCCTAAACAACCTGGGGAGAGCTCAAAACCTTCTGGTGTAGAACCTGCAAGCTGTGTTTTGAGAAATAAAAATGGTAGGTAATTTAACATTTCTTACTCTTTTAGCAAATTGCCCATATAGGGAATAAGCTATTACCGTAGGTCTCATGGTACCCGGACCCGGGACCGATATCCTTTACTGTTTTGATGTCCCCAGAGGCCAAAAACACCCTCCGTTCAAATTTATATTTATGTGTCCGTTAGCACGATAACTCGGACAAAAATTATCCGATTTTGATGAAATTTGGTACAAACCTTTAGAAACATGTAAATTTAAACAATTTTGCAAACCAGGATGACAGGACTATGGGAACGGGTATTTATGGGGGGTCTATGGGGTAAAATGTAGGTATTTTCCCAATTTTTGGTCCTACAAACATAACATTTTAATTCAATTTCTTCCTTGAAACTATTTGTAGACCTTAGTTGCAGAAAAAAATTTAATATTTTAATATTATTATATTATTTTTATATTATTTTATTGTAATACTAGCTGTGTGCCCGTTCTACGTACGGGGATCTTATAGTAGGCCTAGTCAGTTGAATGTGACAAAAATTACACAATGTTGGGTTTTTGGACATTTGTAATATTATTTCTTAAGTAGGTAGGCCATGTATTCTATGGAAAAGTACTCGTATCAAGGATCGTCGTCGAAAAGGTTGTTAGATGAATAAATAGGTAGGCGTACGTACCCAAGAGATGGGCTATGGGCCTATTGGCTGTATGGACCAGCGATTGCATTACACGGTGAGTAGAAACAGCAAGTGACACATTGGAAAAGCGTTTAGCATCATCCGTAAACCTCTGTTACAATCACCCACTGCAGTTGTGATTTTTTACTTTACACTTTACACAATCGCCATTGAAGCGCCGTCAATGAGTGGAAACCTTGTTTGTAAGCTATTGGCGACGATAATTAAGTGTCCCAGCTATATACAACACTGATAGTGATTCAAGGTCTTTTGTTTGGTTATCAAAACTCAAGAACAATTGTATACACAAAGAATTTCTGGTTCCTGACCTGGATGTTGCCTAGTTATTTAATTTCATTTACGGTTACACTATGATATTGCACTTGCGATTAATTAAATCCGTTATGTAAGAAAAACGATTATAATCCTACTTGGTTGGGATTTGCTTTCAAAACGTGATTCGAAATGGCTTCGGTATTTGTAAACAACATTTGTAAACATATCAGTGACAGCTAGAAAAAATAATCTTGATCTGAACAGCTGTTCGTTATTTCATAGACGATTAAGTGATAAAAATTAAACAAAAATTTGACAAAAATCACACAAAACGGCATTTTTGAACGTCCGTAATTTTATTTACAAAGTAGTGAGGCCACATTTTAATCGCTAAAGACACTCTCGCCAATCCAGTGAACACTTTAAAATGACTTGGATCTTGATAGGTACTCTCGTTTTCACGGAGAAGATTGCGTAAAATGTCATCTTGAGTGTTACAGACAGACAGACAGACAGAAATAGAGATAAGACATGTTTCTGCTTCTTGAATGTATAAAACGTAAAAATAACCTAAAAATATATAATTCTGAGCAATGTACAGACAAAACTCTAATTTTATTTATATAGATTATTCTGATGGAGAATAATAAATGAATTATTGTAGTTTCCTTGCTTATGGATATATTTTAATAATTAAATGTGGCAATTTTGTTTATTTCATACAAAGCTATCAACAACATATAAACAAAATCAAACCTCATTACCTTCCCTGTAGCAGCAAACTTAAGTAGTCTACTCATTAAAACTTATGTTATTTAAAAAGGAATTAAGTCTGATGCAATATTTGAGTGGAAATCTAGCCAGGTAAATGGAAATTCGCTTAGTCTGCAGGTTTGCTATAATGTGGGTTTTGGTGAGGCTTTGCAGGGAAAGTGAATGCCACAAATACTTTTTTCACATTTTGTAATTATTCTATTATTTTCCAAAATCTCCTTTTAGCCAATTTTCCTTTCAAACTAACAGGTTGAGTTTTGATAAGCCTATAGATTTTCGACTCAATTTACTAATGCAGACTGTTTCAGGAGCTGTGTTAGTATTGCGTCCTACGCCGCAACAGCTCAACCAAGCTTTGGCTCAGAAACTTGAAGTGCAAGAGGAGATGGACAAGCGAGGTTCATCGATTCACTACAAACCAACACCTGAACAGGTAATTAATTACCTAAGAATGTTTGATAGGCTACTAAGAGTTAATGTTTTTCCTTCTTTTTTATTATCAATAAGTTCAGTTAAGTAAGGTTTTTTTGTGTATGCAATGTTGCAGAACATTTGGGTTCAAATACTTTTAATGTTCTGTTTTACATGCAATAAGTATCTGGTAAATCAGTCCTAGTGAGTAAAAAGGTACAGATCTAGCTCCATTCCACACTAACCTTGTCTTGATATTCAGATCAAAATACACAATTGTCACTGCCTTTTTAATGAGAACAAATGCAATTATTACCACTGATACCTTAATTTTGCATACCATTTAAACTTTTAACTTACTTGTTTTATTTTCAGGTACCACTCTATTACAACAACCGATTTGACATCAACCAACGTTGTGATGTTGCTAATCAAACTAGTGCTGTACCAAAGAAAGATTCACGTTTAGCCGATATGCCTGCAACTGTGAAATCTGCTGGTGCTCCGTCCAACGGAGAAAACATTAAAGAAGGTATTATCACTTAACATGTAATATGTGTCTAATGTAATTTCAGTTTGACAAAATATTAAAGTGTATAGTCTTAAGATTTTATGTCGTAGAATAATGGTAGAATAATACTTTATTTTTTGCAGATACTCCTTATGATCATCAGGCCGAGTTGAGAGCTGCGAGACTGAGATTCCAAAAGAAGTACGAGGAAACCCTCAAGAAGTTACAGGTGAAATTAACGACTCCTGCTGGCATATCGGCTTGGAAGGAAAATAATTTTATATTTTTCAGATGAATTGGCTAACCTTGTTAGGTTTTAGGAATGTAGTAGGTCTATTTAAAGTTGACCTGACTGTGCTTAGTCTTTGGGCTTGACCTTACCTTAACTTGGTCATTTAGAAGCTGACCTGAACTTAGTCTTTCTGCTTGACCCTACTTTAACTTCTAATTTGCCAAGTTTAGTTTTAGATGGTGTTAAGTGGAGCGAGTTCTGTAATACGGAGAAGGTTTTTATCCTGAAAAATCAATCCTTTTTGCCAGATAAGTGAACATACAGCTTAAGGTGAGTTATATCGTTACGACACTAAACTGACCCATATTACCACAAAAACCAGTAGGTCCATAATGACATAAAGTAAGTCTTAAATTTACTTAATAATAATATTGTTAATGATTGTGTCTAATTTTTCTAATGATGAGTTTTTGTTTCAGGGAGAAAAGAATAACCAATAAAACTTAACCATGAGACTGATTTGAGTGCCTTTAAAAATAACATAAAATAAAACGGGGAAAACAGGACCTGAAATATGACTTCCTGAAATTTAGACATCCTTAGTGTGGATACTTTTATGTATTTAAAAGGCAATAGGTTACATAAAGTTACACCAAATAAAGTTACATTTTCAAAGTATTTTACGGAGAGAAGAATATTTTGTTTTCTTTATTTTTTGTTAGTTAGTTTTTATCATTATGATATCTGCATAAGGTGCTGTTTTTCTATCTATCTATTATGTCTAGTCTTAATACCAATATACTTATAGTGCTTATGGTTTATTTTACTTTCACAGTGTTTTGAATAATATATTCTTAATGTCATTGTTATGAATAAATTGGAGTTTGGAAGTAAAACGTCATAGTTTGAACGATGCTAAATTATTGAAAGTGGCTTTAGAATAAATTAATAACAGTTTTTGTTGTTTGGCAAATTGGCACGTAAAATGCTACTATTGCTCAATTCAATTTAATTAGCAAATTTGGTTTTACATAACATTCCTTCTTAAAAGAAGAACTGTGAAATGTTTGTTGAGTCAAATAATGGCTTCCCCCAAAGATACATTAGACCTTTTGTGTGTTTTTTCTTGTGCCATCATTTCAAGTCTATTAGATGATATGTTTTCGATAGAAACATTATATTACATGATGAGCTGTCATTAACTCTGTAACTAGAAATTACTGACATTAACCTTCGCTTCTTAGTTTAATATGGTTTATTTTATTTATGTGAACAGTATTTGTCAAGATGTAATAAAAAAATTCTGCAAAGGCTAATTTATTGAAAAAAAAACTTCTAGCCAGTAGTTTTGATAAAACATACTACTATTCTATTTTTAATGTGTTATTATGGCTGTGTGTCATAGACTTATTGTTAATCCCATATATTATTGTTCCTATTACCGTACTAAATTTAATAAATGCATTTTTGAAATATAGGGGATATTAATTATTTATTCTACCTCTGTAAATAAATTCTGTAATAATTATTAGAGATGTAGCGATAACAAAATTTTTAAATTCTCAAGATTTTTTAACAATTTTAATTTTACCAAGTTTTACTAAGTTATACTACATCAACCCCCTGTCTTGACGTCCTTACACGAAGCTATTTTTGAGGTGTGAGGTCTAATTGAAAAAAAATCAAAGTAGCAATGGGGAAGTATAACGAGCTAATTCAAATTTCAACCCTTCTAAACACATTAAATGAAGTTTTTGCAAACAAATATCAGCATTTTTAACTAGAGGTATGCCAGCCTGAGACTTTATCAAGCCAAGATTGAGGGAATACCATGATAATCTCCTGCACTCGCTGTGTTGGCATCAGCATCTTCCAAGGTCGTGGTAAAACTCTAATCATCGCCATGGGTCACAGAAACATCATCATTTTCACAACCGTAAAGAAAATAGTCAACATCTCCCGCGGTTGTGTATACATCGTCCTTGTTTCTCGCAATTGTATAGACCACACTGACTGTCTCCGGCGCTAACAGAAACGTTGTAGCTTTAATTGACTGAAATTGAAAAATTGTGCTTTTTGGGTCGGATACTTTTTTAATACACCTTGTATATTTACAAAAATATTTACACACATTCGGACAAGTGGCAGAGCAATGGCTTTCATCTTCAGTTTCATTTCTTAAACCGGAGGAGTTGGTGTTTGGACCGTTAAACGATTGAAGGTAGTTTGAACTTAACTGGTTTATAGATGGGCGGGTGCCTTAATTTCTGCAGATTTGACCGTTTGTTTTTGTGTTTTCAGTTTTGTCAGTTACAATGCCATAAATTAATTTGTAAATTTTAGAGTTGGTGTAGTCTTTTTTTTCTTGAGGAGGGTGTTTGATCCATTTGTAATTACATGATTTAAATTTATGGTAGCTTTATTGTACTTTTGCTGATGGTTTTTGGTTTTGGAATCTTGAGGAAATCTGGTAACCTTATAGTTTGGATTGGATTTTCATTCAGATGTTCGACTACCATTGGTGTGGGATTTTTATGAATGTTATGATGGTTTTTTTTTTTATTATGTTCTCTAAATCGTTGAAAAAATATTCTGTTGGTGTAGCCAATGTATTGGTTGTTACATGGGGGTTAACAGGTGATTTTGTACACCTCTCCCATTTCAAACAGCCTGTGTTTTGTGTCATTAATTTTGTAATTTGGAATGGGTTGGTTTTTATTTTATTTTGGACAGGTGTGTTTCCGACTTTTTTGAAAACTTCCAATATTTTTGGTTGAATTGTCATAGGTGTGAGTTATGTATCTTGTTGCAGCGATGTCTGTCTGGTTGTTATAATCATTTTGTTAAACTTTCCAAAAACATAAAATTAACTGTCTTCTAGCTCAACAATATAATTAACACCAACTAGACACCACTCATGTATTTAACCCCAAACTAATCAATTTAGAAGTAACACCAAACAAAGACAAAACAAAAAATAATAGAGAAAAATTCAAAAGCTAAAACACAAAATTGTCACAACATGATACAATCCTTATTAAAAAATACCGAAGTAGCCCGCTAAAAATGAAGGAGAAGAAGGAAGGACTGTTTTGTAACCTCTCAGATAAACTGGTTAAAATTCCCAGTTTGTAAAGATTTTATTGCAGCTGGTTCATAGCTCGACTCCAAGTAAATAATATTGGGCATTGGAGTAGGGCAATAAGCTAATAGGATAAAGTGTGTAGGCCTGGAAAGTGGACACCCTTTACTGAGCATTAGGTTCCCTGACAAATAATAAAAATGAATTAACAGTTAAATTACCAGGAGCTTTTTTACAAATTATGCCAAAACGCTACAGTTGATGGCCAGTAATTACAATAGTTTTTGTGAAAAATAAACGAGGATATTTCCGTCTCTATAAGAAAGAATAAATAAATTAGCCCATTTAATTTAATTTTCACTGAGCACTGGTAATAAACCGTTAATGGTATTTCAGTCTCTGCTGTTGGAGAGACCAGACAATAAACGGTATTTAGTTCACATCTATAAAATGGATATTTTCATTTCTGGGTAGCAATTAAATTGGAGTGTGCATTAGGGTGAATAGTTATGCTAATTAAAACAGTTTGGTTGGAATTAATGTACCACCCCAAAAATTAATAATGTTTGTCCAGATTGAATATTCAATTTTGTTCATAAACAAACAGTAAAAACGAGTAGTTCTTGCTCTTATAAATGAATAATTATTCTTTTTACGGGTTATACTTTTTAGGTATCAGGTATAAGCAATTTTATGGCCATAATCATTGTGATGTTAGCCTCCGGATTACGTTGAATATATCTTGTCAAAATTAATTGTAGTTGTCAAAGTAAAAATGTTATTTGTACATGTAGTAAATATTGCTGCAAAAAAGTAGTTTTTTAGGGAAATAGTGGCAGAAATGGCTGTGGGAAAGTAGTACTAGGACCAACAAGAATTAGGCAACGTCATCCTTTTTGTTTTAAATATTAACTCTTACAAAAATGTTAAAATTCTAATATACCCATAATATTAGGATGCAGATATTTAAAGTGTTTAACTAGTTTTTGCCGCCTTCCTTTACATCTTAGCACTTTATCTAGGGATCGTTATACACATTACTTCATGCTTATCCTAGAGAGTTACATTGTTAATAATTTTGTCGGGGATTGGCAAGATTTGAACCGAGGACCCAAGTCCGAAAATACGAACTGACTAGTTCGCTTCTCTTTGTTGGACTAGCTATCGCAAAACCTTAACGAAACAATGAAATATAACAATAACTAAATAAATTAGTAATTGAATTAAAATGTGAAACAAATATTAAGTGGCACATTTCTCAAGAACCGTACCATTTTCTGATGTTGGGCACTTACACATTTGAACATTTTTCAAGAGTATTTAATGATAAAAGTCGACTGCCTGTTGCTAAAACCTAGAGCTTTTCTGTGTTTGTCGTGACGTAGGGGATGACGGAGACATTTAGTAGGGTGAAAACCAGAGTTTACGATGTTGAAAGCGTGGCTCAGTGATATTCCCAGCCTACTGCTAACTCAGCTTTGGAGTTGGACACAATTCTATATTCTGTTAATATATTATATTATACTAGCTGTAACCCGCGGGCTTTGCCCCGTTTAACTTCTTAATTTTCAAGATTATCTCGTTCGCATGGCTCAATCACGTCCTGGTTGAAGTTTGTTCACTACGCTCACTCACCTTTAGGTTGGAGCTCGTTCGCTACGCTCACTCACCTTTAGGTTGGAGCTCGTTCGCTGCGCTCACTTGCCTTCAGGTTAGCTCGTTCGCTACGCTAACTCGCCTCCAGGTTGAAGTTCGTTCGCTACGCTCACTCACCTTTTGGTTGCAAATTAGCTGTTGTCATAAATGTAAAAGAAATAATAGTGCTGCACCCTGTTGGTAATCCTTGTAACTTTAATGCTATTGAACATCATAGAACAGAACCAACTTGTTTAGTTGAAACAGCTGTTAAGATTCAATAATTCCATTTCTCATAAGGTTAACATGGGAAACTCCAGAGCCACTGGGGCGGAGCCCGAAAGGATTTTTGAAATAAGAATATGCCTATATGTTAATCGGGAATGTGAGCTATCATCATGCCAAATTTCAGCCCAATCCGACCAGTATTTTTCGCGTTCACTTGTCACAAACATACATCCATACATCCAAACTTTCTCATTTATAATATTAGTAGGATTTCATATGGCCTTAAGTATCTCTTTTCGATATGATGACAATTTTAATGACCAAGGTGAAGTTGACGTGAACAGCTTCTGTCCCTTCAGTATGACAAAACAATTTCCATTACTCTACTTTGAGTTCAGATGTTTTAATCACCTACGAGACATCACATTTTCATACAAATACCTCACAGTAGAAAGCAACATTGCGAACATAGGACAATTTTCCAATCAACAACTCAACATATTCTTCGTTTACTTAATAATAGACGTTTGCAAAATGTGTCTTATCTGGGAAAAAGTTGATATTCCAATGATTTTTCAAATCAATAGTGTATTAAAAAATTTGTGAAAGTTTTTTTGCAAGTTCAAAACCACATGTTAAAAACCAACTCCCACTTTCCATTTTTGTTATGATAAAATACTATTTTGTTACACTGCCGGAAAAACGGCTGCAACCATAACATCAAAAACAAATCCATAATGCAATTGAAGG